GAAGCTAAGACTTGTTTCAATTGACGCTATGAATGACTAGAAAATTGCTTCCTTAGTTTTTAAAGTATCCGGATTGTATCTGCACAATATCGGGTGCCTTAAGGGATGGCATCCGGATTATATGCAGTAATAAAATATTATTTTAAATTAAACTAACGAGGCCATTCTGGAGTTTTCTGGTTTCAAATTAAGTGTTAAATACCCTAAGGTATGAGTTAAATTAACCTAAGGTATGGGTAAAATCGATACTCGACGCCATTTTGGAATCCAAGATAGTGACCATTGCTTTTCTGAAGTGTCAAATACCGTAAGATATGGATATTTTCGGAACGGGGACAACGCGTAAATCAATATCAGATACCATTTTGGGATCCAATATGGTGCCCAACTGGTTTCCGAAAATGTGTCAAATACCCTACAATATGGGTATTTTCCGAACGGGGACGACTCGTAAATTTAGAAAATAGATATCCAACGCCATTTGTACGCTATTTGACACTTCTTCTGAAATCGGAAGCCACCATCTTTAATTTCAAGCTGACATCGGTCATCGATTTCTGGCATCTAGATGTCACCTCGATTCCCACAATACCCACATTGATCGGTATTTGACAGTATTTCATACTTTTTCTGATCCAAAGCCACCATCTTAGATTTTAAAATGGCAGTCAGACATCAGTTTCAGCTCTAAAAGTTACTGGGATTTAAAAAATACCCACATTGATGGGTATTTGACAGTATTTTCCACTTTTTCTGAAACCAAAAGTCGCCATATTGGATTTCATGATGGCGTCTGACAACGATTTTTGCAATCTACGTGTCATTCTGTTCTGAAAATTCTCAAATTTTACAAACCACCCGACAATGATAAATTTAACATCCACGTGCACAGATATTTGCACATACGCTTAAATGAACCGAGTGAACAATCAACAAAAGTCAGAAAAACTGTGCGAATTTTTATCGAACAGCTTCGCATCAATGAGAAAGCAAGTTCATTTGACAATGAAAGACAAAATGAACACGAGTCAAGCCAAAACAAACAGCATGAAAACTGATCCAAAGAGGTTCTGTTGATGTTGAAGGGGATCTGCTCAAAGAGAAGACAGAATGACTTTCAATTGAAAGTGATGGTTGACAGCTTCGTCGTCGCTTGATTATTTTCAGTTGTAAGTGACTTTGTTGGGCCCTGGTGTTAAGTCTTGAGCTATTAAACCGAATGACATTATGCTTAACATCATAAGGCCGAATGTGGTTAGATTATACGGGTTACAGGTGAACATAAAACATTATTTCACGATGCCAATAGTCCTTCAATATATGTACTAGAATCATTAGGTCCAGCAATTTATTTTAATTTTTTTTTTCAATATCCATCTTGAATATTTCCATACTAACAGAATTCTTAAATCTCTCGAAATCTCAAATGCCTTGAAAACAGGGATAATAAAAATGGGGAACCCGGTTTGTCGAATATGTTTGTGAGCTGTGTGACCTAAATTCTTGAAAAGATGCGGTTCTTTAATACATTTTTTTCGTATCAAGTGTATGACTAATTTTCTTATTCTGAGATCTCACATTATTTTTAAGATAAATAATGTTTATCTAGTTTTCTATGATTCATACTCAAGATGTATTTTTTTAAATTGGGTTCAGAAAGATTGGTCGAAGCATGAAATCTTGCTATAAATTTCCAGTTCTAGAATATGTAAGCCATCATTTGCTTCCTCTCACTTGCTATAAAAACATGATTTTCGGATTTTTGGAATCATTAGATGTTATAGTGGTATTTTGTACTTGCAAGATACAAGAAAAGGTTGAAAGGCAAGTGTTTGACACATAAAACCAGTCAAATTCGCTTTCAGATAGTTACAATAAATGATTTTACGACTTGCGACACCAATCTTAAAATCACTTATTGGGACACTCTGAAAGCAATATTGACAGGTTTATTGTGTCAAACACAAACTTTCCAACTTCTTCTTTTAATTAACAAGTACAAATTATTATAATAACATCTAATGATTTTATAATTCCAATGTTTTATAGCTAGTGCCCTGAGTCATGTTTTTTACTAAATCCAGATGTTGAAATTTTGTTTACGTCTGAGTTACTAATTTCAAGGATTCAAGGTTAGATCTTTTATTCTTTAGATCTTAAAAATAGTATTCCTTTGCTTTGAAGAGCTTTGAGAGCAGACTTAATAAATTATCCATTATTGGTATTTGTTAACAGTTCCTGCAATTGAAAAAAAATCTTTCACACTGCTGCTCCTTAGTATGTGAACAACCTTATTTGGCTAACAATGGATTTCTAAATTCTACATTTTATTCTGAAATGTACACAGCAAAAAAAATAATATTATATCCAAGAGGATGCACTTCAATTATGTTGAAAATCTCATGTAATTTTTATGCCCATAAAAATAAACAAATGTAGTAAAAGCAGCGTAATGTCAGTTCATGCACTGCACTTTGAGCTGAAAAAACAATGCATGGTACATTTTTAGATAGATATGAACAACAAATTTGCTTTTCCATAGTAATTTTCATACAAACTTCAAAGGGATTGTGCCAAGTCAGTTTCTTACCAACTGAGTTAAAATTTTGGAAGGCTAGTCAGGACCCAATTTGGAACCGTTTGAGCACTGTGGAGTGAAAATTTAGAATTGTGCATCAGTCAATCCAGCACATAGGGGAAATGGCTCTAATGTTGACCATCGCTAAAAATCTGCTACTGATCAATTTTATCTAGATGAACGCGTCATTGGGATGGTACTAATGGATATTTTTGGTCGCTATTGAAAATTTAAACGATTGCTGAATTTATGTATGGGCCCAAATTAGGGGCATTTAGGCCGACATTAGATCCATTTCCCCTATCATAAGCTATAAGTTCTAGAAGGCTCTGATAATTATATTGCAATCTGAATTTCCAGATATGAAGTTGCAGAACGTACCAGAAAACTTTCTTAACAGCATGAGCTTTAATGCCTATCGTGTATATATGCCTAACGTATGTATGCCTAAAGTTCGTACGCCTAACGTATATATGCCTAATGTGGTACATTCGAACATATATATATATGTGTTTTCACAAGTCATTATGCATTTTAATCGCTTTTTTGGCACCCGTTTTTTTACCATTTTAGTGTTTTTTAAATCAATATCTGTCTACAAAATTCGTGGGTCGTGAGCTTACTGAATGTTCTAAAGTGGGTCGCAGTCAACGAAACCTTGAGAACCGTTGGTTTAGGTGAACAAACCTTAGGTAAAAAAGTCAAGATCATAGGTATAAAAATGAAACTACAATGTGTTGAATCGGAACCTACCTAACTAATAAAAACCAAAGATTTAAGTAAGCTAAAGGAGAAAAATCTATACAACTCTCTAATAAGGAAATTATGATGGCTACCAAGCCTTTGGGGATTTTCCTTATTAGAGAGTTGTATAGATTTTTCTCCTTTAGCTTACTTAAATCTTTGGTTTTTATTAGTTAGGTAGGTTCCGATTCAACACATTGTAGTTTCATTTTTATACCTATGATCTTGACTTTTTTACCTAGGGGATGAGTACTTAAGGGGGTTAGATTTTGATAAGTTCTTTAGTGGGAATGACACTGATGAAGACTGCACATTGTAGTCGAAATACGTATCTGTCATGGATACCAAAATTAATTAAGTGGAATTAAATGGAAGATAACCTTTTTTGCTGTTTCATATACTGACGTCATTTCCAGAACAAATTCAATGTTAATGGACCAATTTATTATCAGTAGACTTGCAGTAGAGCCTTGTTTTGAGATCTATAATCATTTCAGATTTATTTTCAATAAAATTAGCAGCATAAAAATAAAATATATAGCACGAACTTTAAACATTTAGGCTATCTCCGGGGTCCAGAAGCCACTTCAAGTTTTGATCATATACTAAAACTCAATCATTTCTTTGTCGCATACTTTCAGGCACATACATGAAAGTCAACTGATTCACGGAACTGTGACACTTTAAAGATGAACAAAATGTTCTAGCCTCTGTATATTTGTGTTTGTATTGCTTGTCGATCATTCAAACTGCAGTCTTGATCATTACTTACTGATTACTTACTTCTCATGTAAGAAGCTAATGTCAGCCAAATGTACCACGCATTTCCCATATTTTTCAAATCTTCAATATGTATGATGGATCGCTCTTGTAGGACGCTAAATCCAATTCAGTTAGCTCATCTTAAAAAAGGGTAGTGTAATGCTATTAATTTCCTTATTAAAAGTAAAAATTTCCGCACCACAGAGCCACATTTTGTGTTTTTACTGAAAGTACAGTAGAGCACTCTGGAGTGCACTTTCAGTGATAACACAGAGTGTGGCTCTACAGGGCGAAATTCTTGCATCTTTATAGGGAGATTAATAGCATTACACTACCTATTTTACGAAGGGTTAACTGAAAATTCAACTAGATTTTACGTAAGCATTCTATGATAAAAACTAATGACAAAGCCTAAAAAGAGCGATCCATCACTATGATCCATCAGTATGAGTATCGAATGCTAGTAAAGACTTATAGGCCAGACGACGTATACTGGGCCAATTGAATATGCTTCCACTAGGGATAGATGTCTTGATTCTCAAATCTATATTTTTCCATCAGTGCATGCTCAATACTAAAAATTTGTGCAGATCTCACTCCATAGCGCATAACTTAGACACATTCAAGAGGCGTAACGAAACGATTAAACAATTTTATTATTGAACTAACGACCAAAAATGTCCTCATCCAAACACTTTTAAAACCCTCCTTTATCGACGCTTCCATTGGTTGTAGATTTCTAAACGTCAACATACTGAGTAGAAACGATTCATTCATAAATAAACGTCCAAAACATTCCCTTCGATCGGTCACCAGTCCACCTTTCAGACGTCGCTTCCCGTTTGAAGCATCGATTATCTCTGCACAATAGCATTTTTTGGCTAATCACTCTCACTCAACAACAACACCATCTTACCCTTTTGGAGATGTTCATCAAACTATCCGCACTTCACGTCTTCTCTGTAGGGTTTTCCGCTCAACACATTATTATCCTCCTCTAAGACACAATCTTTTTCTTCGGGAAAAAAAATGCTTGCTCACCACCTTCTAATCTACGTGTTCAAACCGGCACTCCCAAGCACTTGATTTGAAATCTCACTTTATGACCTTTTCAAAACCAAAAAAATCACATTTCCCTTTCACGCCAACCAAAGTGAAGCCATGAACTTTCCCGTTCGATCTTCTCCACCAGCAGGTACCCCAGGTCCAGGTCGTTATCCGTTATCCGTCCGACAAAGTTTGAATTCACACGCGCGCGCGCGCACTCTCGCATCCGTCACACACCGAAGAGGGAAAAGTTTTCGCCTCCGTACCGTCCGCGATCTCGAATCGATATGAGATGGCCTGTCTCAGATGCTGCGTCCCAGACCTCTGTGATGCACGACACTCTCACTCTGCTGCTGCTGCTGTTTTTATTTTCTGTTTTTGTTTTTCTTCACTCACTTCCACAACCAGCCGAATGCGGCAGGGGTCCAAAAATCCGGACACTTTTCACACGCGCACCCGCGCCAAGCCTTCGTCTATATGGGTGGAATTTTCAAAGATCGTGCCTCATTAGCGCAGATCGCGCGCCAATCAATCGTGACGTGATCCAGTCTAGACTTTTTCGAGGCCTTAGAGAAATTGATCCTTTCTTCTGACGGTGAACGGCAGTTGATGATCACGTTCGCGACGACGGTGTGGAATGCCAACTCAGTGCGGCTATCCGGTACCAGCGACTACGGCCAAATGGTCTTAGGACCCCCGGATCTGCTGCTCTATATTAAACTTTTCGCCCCTCTTTACCCGTGGACCCAAGTAGCCACGCAGCATCCAACTTAGTTCATAAATTTCATTCCGCGAGTTTTCCACCTAAGCTGATGGCGATCCGATGTGACAAACGACTTTGTCACACCGACCGACCGACCGACCGGCCCGAGCGAAGGTAGGTGTAGTAGCAGCACCAGCGTCAAGTGACCAAACAAGTTTCACGCCTCCGTTTCTCACTTACGATTACGATATGTACCAACTTGTTGTTGAACAGTACTCATCGAGAGTGAGAGTACTTCCACCAGGTCTCACTCTCAATGAACACACAGCTGCGGGGCAAACGGCGATACTTTTCTCATCAGGTGAATCGCATGAATTTTCCCTAAATGGACTTTTCGGTAGCTGGAATGTGAATAGAGAGGGGTGTGTCCCACGATGATGGATGCCTTTTTAAATGAGTAACGTAATTATCGTTTTGCTGGAGCATTTTTAGTTATGGTGGAGCAGTTGACAATTAATTCCTGATCAAACAAGGTACATTCGAAAGCATGACTCTGCACACTTGGACGAGAATATTAGTATTTTCTTCCATATGGATCGAAAGTCGGTTTCGTAATCATAGAAAACAAGCAGATATGTGTGTTGTAAATTTCCATTGCCATTCATAAAATGCAATCAATTTGTTTTGTTGGCTATCGATATCTGAGACGTAAAATACATTCACCAATATAGAGTTGGCCAGACCGCATTGCCTTGATAAGCCAAAACCATTACCATTGATCCATCCCACCATGCTCGTAGTCTTTGAATAAGAAATGGCAAAGGGGCCTACACCCTAGGAAGTGGCTACAATCAGTGCTGATAAAAATCATTTCTTCTACACTCAACTTAGCTGAAAATGATGACAACCTTAAAAGATAGACAAATACCTGCATGAATTTATAATTTTTGCATATCAAGATTGTCTTGATCAAGGCAACCTCTGAATATCGAAGGTAACATTTGTTTTTCTTCATTCGTGGCTGGATGTTCATTATCGCCTGTGTTGTTGTTAATATTAAGATTCGTCTTCATCTTGGTGGGGATGATTGTGAGGATCAAATGTAAAATGATTACATATTTTCATTTTACACAAATATAGCGCTGAAGAATGTGTCATTTTGGGTTTAACACGCAGATCGATGGAAAATAATTGCCTCTTGCTGAATTGATGATAATATCAAGGATTAAGGCACTGGGGTTGACAATATTCATAACAATCATTTTGCCCAACATGAATTTGATTATTTTGCTTCTGAGGATCGCTTCTGATGTACAAGAAACTCAACTGTTCATTTCGCTCGTACGTGACAGCGAACAATTTCAATACAAACGCAATGTATCTACATTTGGTTTAAGGGCTACTCCTTGCGGGAGACGGTAGATGATAAAAATACACACTTTCTACAATCTTCCAAAATGCTCACGTCACACAACAAATCATATGAAGATTCCGAAATAAGATGGTTGGTGGGCAAATTGAGTACAAAGGAATAAGAGAGATTCTGGGGAGTATTAAGAGAAATTCCTAAAATTCTCGTAGATGTCCTGAAGTTCTCGAAACTGTCCATATGTTCTCAGACCAGATCTAAAGTTTTCTCAATTTTCTAGATGTTCCGCTTTTAAGATCCCTTAATTTTCCTAAAGTTCTCGGAACTTTCAAAAATATCTCTAAACTTTCTTAAAATTCTCTAGCGTAGGGTAAAGAATTTATAACTGTATTTCTTAAAAGTTCCAACAGTGTTCTAAAAGTTAATGCAACTGCCTTGATGTTGTTTGATCTTCCCGGATGTTTCCTCATTTTTCCTAAAAGTCATGGAGCTCCCGCAAGTTTTGTGGAATTTTCGGAACATCTTGAAATGTTCAGAACATCCCTGAAAATATCAAAACATCTAAGCTAATCTTAAGACTTTTGAACTGAATTGCTTTAAGGTTCTTTGAATTTCCTCAGAATTTATCTGTAGTTCTGACGAATTTCCTGAAGTTTTGACGTAGGACTACGTCTGTGATTTCTATATGGGGGTACACTTTGTGAAAACAGAAAATGGAACATGTAACAAAATTTTGCAAGATTTTGAACGTTAATAACTCAGCTGCCCCTGGACCAATTTCAATAATTTTATCACCAATGGATCAGAAATATTTCTATGCATCTGTTAAATTGAAGAAAGCTGCAGCCCACATGAGCATCCATAGAAGGAGGAAGAAGCCGCACCGCTATTGATCGGAATCAGTAGCTCTTCGTGAGTCGCTGTGGGCCATCTATGTCAAGCGCGTCATACTAAGGAGTAAAAAACAGAGAAAACCCCGCTCAAATTTCTATTCCTACACATAACACAAGCTACTGCTGCACTTAACAAATAACATTTTCTATATAAGACCACGTAGTCCTACGTCACCAATGCGTACAACCCCATAGGGCGGTCCCTTGTAGTTTTTGATACTATTACTATTGATATTTGGAGTTTCCTGAACTTTTTGGAAAATTTCTGAAATTTTTCTGACGTTTTCTAAGCTTCTTTGAAGTATCCTGGACTTCTTGAATACTGGGATCATCTTTTCAAAACTAATTTTGTATCTTTCTGAATAAAAAAAGAACTGCAATGATATTCTCTCAAGTTCCCACCATACATGAAACTGCCCAGCTGATTACGGATCTTCAATTAAAATATTTCTACGAAACCCTGATGATCATTGAACTTCTCTGGAGCATTTGCAATTTTTCCGATATTTTTGGAACTTTCCTGAAGATCCCAAAGTTTTCCTAGAATTCCCTAACACAGCAAAAAATTAATGTTGATATCACATCAATATGGTGTAATTTTACTTACCAAAAAGGACAAAATTATTATTAATACAGAGCATGAACTGACAGAAAGACGATTTTCCTGCATTTGTTTATGTTTGTGGCCATAAAAATTACATGAGATTTTCGACATGATTGAAATGCATCATCTTGGATGTAATATTAAAATTTATTTTTTGCTTTGAAACTTCAATGGAGTTCTATGGACTTTGAAGGTCCACAAGTTTTCTTTAATTTCACTAGAGTACTATTGACTTCCTTAAGATGCTCGGTAATTCTTTAAAGCTCCCATTATTTTCCTGAAGTTAAAAGAAAATAGTTCATGCAGTGATAATCTTTAACTGAAGGTCTTGATTTTCATTTTTTTCAAAGTTCGTCAAACTGCACTTAATTTATCAGAACTTATTCCTCAAGATCTTCAAACTTTTCTGAATATTTAGACTTATTTCCTGACGTTTGAGATGATCCCTGAAACTACTGGAGCTGTCCTAAACTTTCCTAAAGTTCTCTATACTTCCCTGAATTTCTCAGAACTTTTTAAAAGTTCCCGCCTATTTCCTGATATTAATTAAAATGCCTTGAAGTTCTTTGATCTTCTCTGAATTTCTCGAAATGTTTCTTAAAAAATTCGAAACTTCCACGATCTTCACGGATCATATTTTTTAATCTCTAATCTTTGCTCAACTTGCTAACATACAGTTGAGTAGGCTAAACGCTGAAAAAGCCTGTTTTTAGTTGCATGAGGCACATCTGCAGCTTGAATTGTTTGTTTGGTTCTAACACCTTCGCCAAACTTTTCGATGTTTCTTAAAACTACCTAGCTTGTCAATAAGATCTCAGATCTTCCTAAATGTCCTGGAAATTTTCCTGAAATTTTTGTAAAATATTTTAAATTTTTTTAAATTTCTTGAAATTTTCAGAATTTTACATGATCCCTTGAAATTTCTTAAATGTAATTTTTCTGAAATTAATGGAAATGCTCTGAAGTTCCTTGATCTTGTGCAAAGTACTCGGAACTTTCTTGAAGATAAAGAGATTACCCTAATATCACTGAAAATCTTTTAAGTTTTTTTGGACGGGAGACGATCTTGGAGATTCTTAGAGTTTTCTTGATTTTTTTTCTGGAATTAATGGGACTGCCTTAAAGTTTTTTGGTCTTCACTAAAGTACCCGCAATTTATCTAATGTTCTCGAAACTGCCATAAATCTATTTGAACTTCCCTTAAAATGTTCCCGCTTTTTCCCGGTATTCATGAAAATTAATCGAAGCTGACAAGATTTTCCTTAAACTCTCGGAACTTTGCTAAAGTTGTTGGAAATTTCCTGAGATACTTAGAACTTCTTTGAAAGTTCTTGTCATTACCATTGATGTTAATTGAACTGCCCTGGGGTTCTCTGATCTTCTCAGTTGTACTCGGAGCTTTCCTGAAGTTCTTGCAATTCTCCTGAAGTACACAATTTTCTGACGCTTTGAAATAAATGGGAATGACCAACAATTTTTTAAACTAGACTTCCCTCAAATTTCCAGAACTTCTTAGTCCTTCGTCTGTACTAAAAAAAAAATCGGTTCCATGTACCTTGGGGCCAATTCAAATTGCCGTATCTTAACGACATTTCAATGGATTGCTGAAATTTCAAAGGTTTTGAAAAGTAAATTTAGTTCAATTTCAGCTAAA